TACCACGTATCGCAAACAGTAGACGTATTCCGCGCACATAACACGAATGTTCGAGATACATTCCACTTTTATGATATTTCTTGTGTACCTTTTGGCAGTGGTACTATTGCAAGTCTTCTTTCATTTTCCTGTTTTTCGGCTTCCAACCGCTGTTTGTACATTTCTTCTGCGTCGCGCACTTCACCAAGCAGTTTAACAATTCGTTTCTGAAATATTCTAAAAATTACCTTAAGGACGTATATACTTCTCATCAAAAAACTAAATTTATAGCAAAATAAAAAATTGGCACTCACCCCCAACTCGATTTGTTCCTTTTTCCTCCGCACCTCATCTAGAGATGTTACATAGATTGGTCGACCGTCTGAAATACAGTTTACGAGTCTTATGCGCATATTCATCACACTCCTATTTCAAATTTCAAACTCGAAAACTTTCAATTTTCCAAGAAAATTCATTCATTTGTCATCATAAATAAGCATAAGTTTAAATTTCATGCCAATCTATTCCATACATGCAGCAATCTCGTTGATAGGTAATTATTACACTAGAAAATAATAACCTTGAAAAGTGAAATCGACTCCCTTCTGTAAGACATTCACATGCGGTGAAATGTAGATACTGAAAAATTAGAAAAGGCTACTCATAGTAAGTGAGTCTAAAGGTTAAACATTAAATAATGTTAAATGACAAAATGATAGATCGTGCGCAAAACAGATACAAGAAAAAATTTACTAATTTACGGCACAATGCCGACACTGATAATAAAGCGGATAACTCATACAACTTACGGTTCTTTCCACCACTGAATGCGGCCTTTCCATTTCTCTGGAACTGTCCTCAATTTCAGTTCGTTTTTATTGAAATCGCGCAGAAACCTGAATCGATAGCTACGACGAGTGTTGCATATGCATCCTGCACTTTTGGGATATAATATATGCCTACAGAGCATCTAAAAACTGTCCTCGATTGATTATATTGTAGTTGTGGAACGGAACAGATAGTCACAACTTCCGCCATGTACAGAAGTATCTCAAAAATTAGACTACTATTATCAATTTTTTTTACTTCATGGAAACAGTTAACAAAGCATCTGAAAATAAGCAAGTAACACAGCTTGCAAAAAATATGCAATGCAAAGTGCTTCATCGTCACCAAGATTAGCAAAGTAGAATTATTGAGGACACTCCTGTATTGATAAAGTTTTAATGCACTGTACCTATGGCAAGCATATGACCACCTTGACAATATCCCTCACAATATTTCTTCCGATCAGAAATTGAGATACAATCTGCTCCAGAAAGAAATTTTTGACGAAACCTATGATACCGAAGTATTCTCAACATATTTACATATATATAGGATTAATAAATGCTACTTTATTTGGTTTAAAAAAATTCTTCTGAAACTTCATTCGCATACACATGAATTCAATAAACAACTGAGGAAACATAATACAACATGGAAAATGAAATGCATATTTTGAAAAGAATGAGGTAAAATTATGACCAGCAATCAATTTATTTGTTTAATATCCGCACTTTAAAATTTATTTAAGATACTAACTAATACGGCATTTTTAATTTTCGTCGATAACAACAGTGAATTAAATTATAATAAAAACAAAAATATATGATTAGCGTGAAAAATGAAAAGATAATTATGAAAAATGAACATTGAAAAATGTATAAAAAAACATATTTCCTTAGGATTACAGTTTTCTAATTCTGCCGCGGATATGTTACTAAAGCAATTAAAATTGACCATAAACAGTATTATGAAATTCTAAAAATTCCTGGAGTCTTAAAAATTTTCTCGTGGATTTCAAAAAAATAGGAAAGGCATTCAAGACCACATTTTAATCACATTATCCCAGCTTCCGGTTATCATTCTCGAAGTTTCATGTGGATGCCATAATGTTGCGATAACGCAATCATCGTGTGCTTTCCATCGCGCCACTATTTTGTGATTACGCCAATCCCAAATGAATACTTTGCCATCCGCATCACCCGATGTTAGAAAGCTGAAAATATTTCATTTTTAATTTGTTCTAATGAAAAAGCTTGGATTTTCAAAGTTTATGTTTGAAAAAGTAGCGTGGAGCTCCACACTGTCAAAATCAAATTGTGACATAATAATAGACTAATAACCGGAAGCTTAAAATCTCGAAGATTTGGTTTGTAATTTTCAAAATTTTAGAAAAATATTTGCATTCCCGTAAAACCAAACATTTCATCATTCTAGATCACACTTTGATTACAATATAGCAGATAAAAATCATTATGTAATGAATCCTCAAAACCTCATATCTGGTGCGAAATCCACTGAACAAGCATAACCAGCAACATTATGTCCTTTGAACGCTTTCTTTTTGGCAAATCGTAATTTGTCATCAATCAGTTGGAATAATACGATACGATTATCCATCGACTGACCAACTATCCATTTTTCTAAAATGAGTTTAAAAGACTATTATTTTAAGCTACTGAATATTTTTCTTTAAACTGTAATCAAATAGTATTACTAAGCGGAATTTTCAGAAGATTTAGTATAACCTGTTGGAGACTTCGTCATCGTTGGTATTGAGTGTAAGCCGGCATTCTGAATAAGTTTTGTATCCACAGGAATTTCCCTAGAGAAATAAGCTTTTACTATAAGTTACTATGAATTATGACTTATCAATTTATTATTTTCTAAAAGATAAATGGAAAGAAATACCAGCTAGTCTGGACTGTGCGAAATGTTTTCCCTTGATTTGCAAACTATCGACAATTATATTTTCTCAAATGAAGGATGGCAAAACCTCTATTTCTCAGAAAGTGCAAACAATTAATCTGAGCGTGGCTCTAAACATGCAACTGCTTAAAGAATTTGGTACAATCATTATTGATAATATTAACCATTCCCATATTCGAATTGACTTATCATCAGAAGTTGAGCAGAATCTTCGATTCTTGTCAAAAAATGTTATTGAGTTAACAATCCCTAAGTGGCGATCATATTCCTGAAATAAAAAGAGATTTGATAATTGAACTTATAATTTAAAAACAAATGATTTAGCAAAACGAACTACAAGAAAATTAATAAATATTTACCTGAACAATTTCACCTGTCCGAGTATCCCACGGCAAAATTTTCTTATTTTGCATGCCTGACAAAAACATATTTTGCTTGTCTTCATCCGGATTAAATTTCACGCAAAACGGTATGTGACCAGTGTGAAATCGTTGTTTAACTTGGCCTGTTGTATCAATTAATTATACAATTGAAAATTTTAAAAAAAAAATTATGAAACTGAAAAAATCTTAAATACCATCAAAATTCATAAGCTAAATAAATTTTTAGAAACAAATTGTTAAATAACAATGAAGAAAACAACCTG